AGTGACCCTGTAAGATGGTCATTCAAGAAAAAGTCAGTCAAAACAGTAAAATTTGGGTCGCGGAAAACTGAAATTCGGATATGTCCTACCGGTAGGACATATTCAAAATTTTCATTGCATCAAAGTTTTCTCCGGATATACTGTTTCCAGTACCTTGATGGCGACTTGGTACTACTCACTGATTGGTCACTGGTCAAAATTCGGTCAAAACCGCGAAATTTCGGTCAAGGAGACGGCAGAAAAGCTTCTCTTCAAAAATCTCTCAAAATTTCTTAAGCTTTAAATCGAAACAAAAAACCATCGCACATCATCAATATTCAATATTGGTAATGTAACAAATATTATCAAGTCTAAAATAATTTTATGGCAACTTTTTAGGCACGATGCAGTGCTCTTTTTCTCATTTAAGCCAGGAGAAACATTAATTATCATACCGTTCTTTGGCAGTCTCATTAAACAGGTACTGTTTGAGGAAATTGAAGTGGCTCTTTTGTGACTGCAAGAATACCTCGGATTGTGGTTCAATATAGTTACAAGAGCTTCAAGAGTTACAAATTACAATTTGAATTAACCAGAATTGTTAAAAAATTAAAGTTAACAAGAGTTATCCGCTAACTACAGTAAGCATTATACTTATACATTGAATACATAAGATCAACACCATAAAAATCTAATCCTCCGCCATATCATGTCGGAGGGAGTCAAGGTAGGTGGTAAGGTTGAAATTAAAAGTCGGATAGTGACGGTGTTGTACGTGACGGTGTTGTACGTGTACGACGCACGTGTAAGAATTATTGTTATAACATTATTATATTCGGTTGACGGTTTGTGTCATTACGTTGTATTGTGTTTAATCAGTGTTACATTTCATCGGCTGTATCTAAATTCGGGATGCATATTTCTTGAAGCGATAAAAAAAGACTTTAAAATAACACTCTCTGTGACCACGGACATCTTAGTTGGATATAAAATTAGATCTACTTTTAGCGAAAATTAAAAAAATTATTGTTGCTGCCCTAGACTCCAGTCCTATAGTCTTTTTTTCGCGCTGCCTATGCGTGTGAATGGTAATTTTCAATTTGCAATGGTTGTGAATCGAAACCTTTAGAGATCACGAAAAAATTCTAAAATTCTAGCTGGTTTGGACGAGGAAAGCATGAAGTTTATTTTTTATTGTCGAATGTCTGCTTGTAGTTGTGACTTTGAGTGGTCCTAAAGTTAAGATCGTGTAAAGTTAGTTAAGATCATTTACACGAAAACCACACTTGGCTAATATAAAAGTATAAATAGCAATTCATTAATCATTGTCGGTGCAAGTTCTCATATTGTTACTTGTCAGTAGGGTGGAGCACATCATCCAGAGCGGCTTATTCGTTTGTTTCATGAAAATTAGGAGGGCTTCTATGATATGACATCTCATCATTTTGATTACCATACCAGTATTCTAATTCTCTCCAATACCGTCTGGAAAGTAGGACGTAATTATTATTCACAGTAAGATAGTAATAGTCTGCAGTATTTTGTATGTCAAATGAGCAATATCAAAATAACATATTGTTTTTCTCAATCATATCTTCTATAAAGAATGGTTAGAGTCAACCTGTTCAGTCTCTATGAGTTTAACTAATCGAAAGTCGCTTCATAAAGCATTGTGTTGTATTAGAACTAGTCCAGTAATTTAAATCTTGTCCAGAACATCTCAATAAGTAGTCTGTTATAATATTTGATTTAGATTGTAGGTATCCGTTTATAATGTTCTGTCACTCCTTGTAGGTACTGCAGCTGTGGTTTGATCTTAAATACTGTCTTGTTTGCTTTTTTTTTAATTTAAAAAAAATATTACCCGTCCCCAATCTCATTATATCGGGAAATTATCATGATCCAACTTAAGGGTTTAAAGTAAATACGGGTGCAAACTGCAAGGGTTAAGCATTTAGAGTTCTGTAAAACAATCGTTACAATCGTGCTAAAATATTTAGTAATTTGGATCGATATCAAATTAGTGGTATTAGCACTAAGGTTTTACGGACACACTGGGCACGACAATCCTTGATTAAATTGCACAAATACTGTGAGATTTGTGTGACAAACGTCTGCCCAAAATTTGTTAGTGTAGTTTTTGCTCCCCTAATATCGACCCCTGTGGGCTGCGTGTGCTACATGCTTCCAAATTTTTAAGTTATAGTATGTCTTCCCGATTTAAGACTTTCAGAGCTTAGGAAGCGGTTTTTTTCTGTTCAATTCTGTGCAGTTTTCCCCAACTTATGTTCGGATGTTCCAAGGTTTTGCGCTCAGATTATCTGTCTTATATAAATACTAGTATAATATGTACTATAGATATATACTATATATTTATTATATACTATATATATATATATATATATATCTATACTTTCTATATTATCTATACTGTAAATATTATAAATATTACATCTAATATAAATACTACATCTGATATAAATATTGCCTCGCTTTTACGAATATCATAATTATCAAGATTAAATTATATATTCAACGGCAGTTTTTTTAGTAGTAGTGCGATTTTTGGCTACGTCATTTAAGTACTTAGCACTGTGATATTCCACAGTGCACACCATGATTGAGGAAAGAAATGCATTAATTCACAGAAAATGCACGATTATGTAGGAAAAAAAGTGGGGCAGTCCGCAATATCTGACAATTGTGCTGATCCGATCCTTGAGTAGCCCTGTAGCACAAGTATTGACTGTATTTGTAATACCCCGCAAAGGAATGTAATATGCTTCCTTCATCGTATCGTATATACAACTTCTTTTGCTCTTTTGTAACTTGTAATTGTTAACTCGTAAGCTTTTAAGACAGTGATGGTATTAAACTATTCCAACGAGACTGTATTCGGAATTCAGAACAATTTCATAAAGTACACGTGGATCGGATACTTTCTCTTCGTTTTTCTATCTTCTCTGATCGGGGACACGCTGATTCTGGTAGCATCCATAAAACTTCGTGCCTTCAAACTTCATAGCTTTATCGTCGTCTGCATCCAGCACATTGCGGTCTGTGATTTGATGGTTTCTTTCACGTCTGTCCTTCCCAGACTTGTATCTCTAATGGCAGGTGGTTGGGTTCTTGGTGATGCTTTATGCGCTATTGGACCATTCATCATGATATATCCGGTTACAGTCAGCCTTCTTCTCATCTGTTTGATGACCACTAGCAAGCTCATCATTTTAAAATTCCCATTTAAATCAAGTTATCTAACATCAAAAATCGGACATATGATGTGCACATTCATATGGCTATCAGCAACAAACATCTCCATCGCATTATTGGTCGACAAGAATGATGTAGCATTCGATTACAGGAGTTACATATCGGTTGTAGCCATTCCCATTTCTTGGAAGAGAAACCGTATTGGCATATTATGCCAATACGGTTTCTCTTCCAAGAAATGGGAATGGCTACAACCGGTGATTGTGACCGTGAACGTCACAATTCCTAACCTATTGGTGATAGGATCTACTGTGCCGCTGGTAACATATCTAGTTAGGGCAAGAAGACATTCAAAGCGAAGCAGGGGGGCTGTAAGATGGTAAGGTATCCTGACAACCTTCATTACTGCTGCTGTCTATAGCATATCTGCAATCCCATACGCAGTGTATCGTTTCTTAGAATCACAAGCTGACGGGGTTCAAGATCCAGATAATTCCTATTTCAGGCTGGCAGTGTCTTTCCTGTTTTTAAACACCCTCAGCAACTTTTACATCTATCTGTTCACCGTGCCTAGCTTCAGGCACCTCATTCAAGCCAGAATCAGGACGCAGTTATTATATTTTTCCTCTCTTAAAACTGGATCTTCCAACTGTAAGTTATGGAAGATATATATATATATATATATATATATATATATGTGTATAACTATAATTTATATGTATTAAGTAATATGTAGTTTAGTAAAACCTCATTTACTGCGAACCCTGTATGTCGAATAGCATAACTTGTATACATTATCGGGCGTTATTTGACCGGACATTGCGTGAGCAACGGATATAGTTTTGAACGGACATTAAAATGAACTCTCGCAGGCATCCGTTTAATGTATTCAATTTAAGTTTAACTACCTCGTCGGACTTTATTTGAACGGATATTAAAATGAACGCTAGGGCCTTCAGCATCCAATTAATGTCCGTTCAAATAAAGTCCGATAAGGTATTCTTAAATTGCTCATACATTTGTATTAAACATAGTTAGTACTTTTTCAATATTTATCATCGTACATGACATACAAATATTTTCAGACTTGACTTCAAGGAGAGAGGAAGATAAATTAAATGAACCTTACAGACATCGGTGTAACGAACCAAACAATACTGGAAGCAAAGTTACTACAGCCTGAATTTTATTCTCCAAGCAGATTAACGGAATTGATGAACTGTTTTCTAACGTGTTCGACTATTTTTGATAAATACAATTTTCCGAAATGATTTTATTGATGATGCAATTTATCGATTATTTTTTGTAAGTTTGAAATGATTTAACCAATTTATGCATGTATCCAATTAGTTTTTCCAATTCATTTTAATGTTATTAACATATTGATAGTTTTTACAAAATATCGTTTTCTTTTTGTAATAATTAATAACTACAGAAGTTTTCGTACTGATGAGTGATGATAGATCAATCAAATATCACCGAGTACGATTATTAACTGAGAGAATCTAACTGAATTGCTAAACATCACAATGAAAATCACGTCAAGTAAAAGAACCCCATTGTTATTAGTTGACGATGTACTATGTAGTTGACCAGATGGTTGTGGAAGTAACAATTGTTGTCAATACAACAATGGTAGGTAACTCCGAGGCGAGGGGAGCCGGGAGGTGTGAGAATAGCACAATGCAATACCCCTCACTTGAAGGTATAGGTGCGAGAAAGATGACAGCAAAAAGTGTGAAAATAAAGAGAAGAGGAGTAAGTAAGCGGGTTGAAAAGGTCCCTCTCTTTACCGGCCAGATGGTCCAGGAGCTCATCTGTCTAATCTTATGTGCGATATAAAACCGGCTCTAACACACTCGCTTACAAATCAACTTTATATCTGTTCCTTGGTGCTCAGCAGTTCATTTTATTTCGGAGATAATCAGTAAAATAGTTTTAGATTTCAGAACTAATTATGATGAGGTCGTTGGTCCTGTCAGTGGTCCTTTCCTTGGCTCTGGCTGAAGATGAAGGTATCATCTGCTCTAGTTGGATGAAGAGGTTCGCAGCAGATGCAGCTTTGGGAGAAAATAAATATTGGGAATGTCCGGGAGAAGGAGAGAGGGCAGTGCTGAAAACTTGTCCAGAGGGAATGATCTACAAGCCAAAAAGAGGAAGATGTAGGCAGGCCCCGGCTAAACTCCTCAAGCGGCAGGATGGTCAGCCCACACCGAAAGATCTAGAACTTCTCAACATGGAGGGGATTGTGTCAAACCAGGGCCTGGGAAGCCTCTACAACGCCAGGACCGGACAGTTCCTGCCTGGAACCTATCTCTGGCCCCGGTCACTAATGGAAACAGTAAAGGTTACAACAAAACAGTTATATTCTAACCTTGACGTGTACCAGGAGAATGATTTCAATGACCGTGCTTTCAACCTCAATGTAGAAGCAAGTCTCACCCTGGGGTTCCTATCTGGGATGATCAAAGTGTCAGGATCTGCCAAATATCTGAACGACAGGAAAGAGTCCTCTAACATCGCCAGAGTAACAATGAGCTATAAGTCCACTACCAAAGCTGACACAATGCCTCTCAATACTCCAATTACAGGACGTTATGTGAGGAACTGTGAGAAAGCTAAAACCGAGCATGGTCCGACTCACGTCGTTACTTCGGTCTTGTACGGACTCCGAGCATTCCTGAGGTTCGACAAAGAGGCAACCAGCTCGGAGTCAGTGGAGGAGATTGGCGGTAAACTGGCCGTGGAAATCAATTCTATTCCCGGATTTAAGATCAGCGGTAGTGCATGGGTTGACATCGAGGGTAAAGAAGTGAAATCGGACGACAGTATTAGAGTTATGTATCATGGTGACACCACAGTTAGCACACCAACCAGTTACCTCTCCGCTATTGAAGCCTTCAATGAAGTACAGAAAGAGGGTCTTACTGGAAAAGCTCCTATCAGGTAATTTATTTTATGAAACAGTTTAAAACTTTATCACGACAAGATAAACATTTGCTGTACATTTTAAGCTATCATTATGAGAGGTACTATTGTTGTAGACTGTAGAGACAAAACCAACCTCTACTTTAATCTTTGAAGACATTTATTAAAACTAACTTCCAATCCAGGTACCAGCTCACACCTCTATCATACCTGTGTACAGAGGACACCTTCGCTCTTAAAGAGATCGGGGACAACCTAGTCAACGAGGCGATTAAAGCGCTGGTTGAGATCGAGCAGACAAAGTTGGAGACCAGTACCCTTCTGAACACCGACGTGTCCAACAAAATACCGAGGATTTCAAATGTCCTGGACAAGTTTCAGCGAGAGTTGTCGAGTTTTGAGACCAAATTTAAATCTTCCATTCAGGACCAGGTTACTATTACTAACTACAAATATTTGATATGTAGGAAACCTTTAACTGTGGTAAATATATTGTTTCACGATGTGTTAAACTGTTTTTAAACTCAGAAATGTTCGAAATACCGTATATCGTTTCCTGGTAACGGACAATTCAATCAGCTGAGAGATCTGAGAGCTGGTAAAGGAAACGAAGCAGACCTCACAAAACTTATCCAAGATTATCAAAACTCCGCTTTCTACTACGACAAGGCTCACGCCTTTCTGGAGCAGAGGAAGCGAGTTATCAACACTATCAACCTTATTATGGACGAGGCCAAGAAAAACAAAGCCCCTGGAGACGTTGATGTTTTCGTTGTGGCTGAAGCCGCGCATATTGAGGACAACGAATGTCTGCTAAATAACCAGTAAGTTCCAATCTATATGTTTAGTATGAGTAGCCTGGGTCACCTGGTCCAGCTGAGTACAAAATCATGGGATTAACTGGACCAGTCATTAAAATGATATTTCAATGCCTAATCATCGATACTTTTCAGGTACTCCTACATTTTCGAACTGAACGTCCTGCCCTCGGACGAGATTGCAGATCAGTTCATCGAAACTCAAGAGGTAACACAAACAAGATAAAGAATGAGAATACCTTTTTTTATAGTAATTGTAATGGTCCTTTAATGGCAATAATATTTTGAAGACTCAAGGAACTTAGAACAATATTTGAGACCTAGAGTTTAGCAGGGGCATTAACATCCCCCCCCCGGCATTAACATATCCGAGCTTTGACAGTAATGAACTCCATTAGTTGGTGGACGAGTCAAACCAATGGTACAATGACCTCGACAGAGTTGGTGAAGTGGGAGGTAAACTAAAAGAGTTCATTCAGTTCGGCCTTGCCTCATGGCCGACCGCAGGCGAACTGAAGCACTGTTTCCTGATAAGAATTCAAAATGCTGTAGATGAAGAGACGGAGGAGTACCTTGATATCAAGTACAGCTATGCGGAGGGAGGTTTTAATCCTCAAAGTGGATCAGGGTTTATTCCTCCACCTACTCCTCCTAAACCGGTAGATATGTCTTTTCATTAGAAACAGTAGCTAATAAAACTGAAATTTCATTACCAAAAAGACACAAATTTAGTGATGTCGAATAGCGAATTTGTAATCTTATCTTATAATACATTACTGTTTGGTCGTAGGAATGCCGAGCCTTGTACGATGGATTTGAGCTGAAGACTACCGCAACTGATAACGAATTCGTGAAGACACACTGGATCGAAGCTACCAATGGAGATAACGAAAATGTAGCGAAGTACAACCTTGGTAGTGCATCTACCATTTCCATCGACGGATTGAGTTCTAACACAGCCTACAACATCACAACCAAATACAAGGTTATTATCTACCAATATTTAGTGATATAATCTAAAGATCATACTGGCACTCAATAAATTACAACCACATTCTCAAATCTCATACTCAAACCTAATTCCACAAAAACCCCACCAAAACCCCACCAACCCCCCAGGTTCTGGACGGTGAGAAGGAGATGCTGGAGGATCTTGGGTTCAGTCACAAGTCAGAAGTAGTGTTGTGTGTAACAGCTCCCACCACCCCCGTCAGGAACCTAGCTGTTGGAGACGTATCTTCATCTTCTCTAGCAATCAGCTGGGCCAGACCTGTTAAGTCTACTTCAGGCGTTTCTACCAAGTAAGTATTTAAATTTGAAATGCCTCGATAAAAAGCACAAGCTAAGCTTTAAGGGGGCCGGGGGGGTCTTCATCAAAATTCTCTCGAAATCGACTTTATAGTTGTTTCTGATAGAGGGGAGTGATATCTATCAGCTGCTTTTGGTCCCATGGAAAAATATTGTTCCTAGCCGAAATTATCGCCGGTCTAAGGTCAGCGCTTATGTGTAATTGTATTGCGCGAGCGATTTTCAATCGCAAATTCTGAAAATCGAGTCTAAAAATCTATCTTCTCCCACATTTTTTGAGCAATCACCCTGAAACTTTCATTATATGTTCTAGGGACCATTTAGAAGAGATTGATCGTACAAAATTTTGAGAAACGGCCTTTAAAAATTTTTTATTCAATTTTGAAAATCTTGGACCTGGTTTTTTTACGATTTTTTGATGTCCAAGATTTTCAAAATTGAATAAAAAGTTTTTAAAGGCCTATCTCAAAATTTTGTATGATCAATCTCTTCTAAATGGTCCCTAGAACATATCCTGACAGTTTCAGGGTGATTGCTTAAAAAATGTGGGAGAAGATAGATTTTTAGACTCGATTTTCAGAATTTGCGATTGAAAATCGCTCGCGCAATACAATTACACATAAGCGCTGACCTTAGACCGGCGATAATTTCGGCTAGGAACAATTTTTTTCCATGGGACCAAAAGCAGCTGATAGATATCACTCCCTCCTATCAGAAACAACTATAAAGTCGATTTCGAGAGAATTTTGATGAAGACCCCCCCCCCCCCCCCCCCCCCCCCCCCCGGCCCCCTTAAATTCAGACTCGTTTCCCAACAACAATTTCGACATCAAAACCCGTCAGATACGTCCTGAAAGTAAGAAAGCAGGGAGCTTCTGACGCTGAAAGTATAATCGTGGAGAAGGGATACGAGGCAGCTTCTGAACACCAGGTCTCTGGACTGGACCCAGCTACTATGTACGAGATTCTCATCCATACTGAGACTGACAAATCAGCTAGTGTGCCAGTCAAGATTCTCCAATCTACTGCTCCTGATTCGATCCCCTTCCCAGAGGTAAGAGGGTTGAAGAGATGATAATTATTACCTAAGAGCGCAACCTAACACATCTCCAACTGATATCTGGATATTATCCGGTTGGAAGAGACAAGGACAAGTGAAACAAGGAAGTTAGGAGTAAGGGCAAATTTTCGGCGTCAACGCCATCTTCAGGCTAAAATTGTTATAAATGTTAGTATATAATAAATGCTTCTATACTAGTTAAAATGCTAAATTAAAATTACACACACTGAATACAGGTTACATCAAATGGTATTGTACATTACATTGAAAATAGTGATGTACACACGTTTTACACTCTGTCCAAGTACATAATATCTACTGAACAGCAGGGTCGTGTGCTATTTGTTTAAATTTGTCTTTGAATATGTTGTAAAAGAAATCCCTTAAGCTTCTCGCACTCTTCTTTGTTATTGATACTAGGTTTAAATAAATTAATGTAGTAAGCTTCTGTCACTTTACGTTTAATGGTGCTATATAAGTTAATTTCTAAAATATCGAAGGAAATATCTGGTTCTATGTTATCGTGAAACTCTGAATAATGAGCAGCCAACGCATTATCAGGATAGGTTAAAGGCCTGTTGACTGCTCTTCGATGCTCTGAAAATCTATCGTGTGCTGTTCTACTCGTTTCCCCTATATATAGCTCTTGACATAATTTACACGTAACTTTGTATATGACACATTTTGGTTTGCAGTCGTGATTTGTTGTGATGAGTGGACATATGATACAGTTTGGTATGGTGCAGTGTGGTTTGTCGTGTGGTCGTGATGAACATAAGATCTCTGAGAGTTTCTTACCTGGTGTGAATATGAATTTGACCGGTAAGTTGTGTGAGAGGGCAAATTGAGTGACTTCTTTGGAAAATGGCTCGTTGATGAATGGTAGAGTGCATGTTACGTGGTCGGTATCTTGTATGTTTGATGATGAAGGGTTATGACGTGTTGTAGGTGAGAGAGGGTGAAGTCGTCCTGTTTTGTTTATACGTCGTGGGTCTTGGTAACCGTTGTTGACCAACAAGTTGTCTACTATCTTCATGGACTCTTCTTTATACTCTGGTGTTGATGAGCAAAAAGCAGCCGTTTTGTAGAAGTTCTTGATGGTTGCTACTTTAGTTCCCTCATTGTGGTGGCTGTTGGCGTGCAGTGTGATATTCTTTTTCTGCTTCTTTCTGTAGAATTTGTGGTGTAGTGTTCCCTGTTCGTCGATCTTTATCTGGGTGTCGAGGAATGGGGTGAAATCCTGACGGCTTTCCGGATAGTCAATTTCCCATTTGAGCAACTGGTCTGGGTCCTCGTTTGAGATGGACTCCACTATCCTCAGAGCTTCTTCTTTGGAGCTGGCTAGACTCCCGGCATCATCCACGTATCTCCGGTAGAATGAGACGTGTAAATCAGTGTAAATCGATCTTCTCTCGAACATATATACTCGTACTATCGCTCCTATTGGTGATGGTTGGCACCCCATGAAGAGACCAATTTTCTGGAGGTAGAGTCTTGAGTGATATGTAAAGTATGAGTTGGTGAAGACGAATTCAAGGATCTTGTGGATGTGCGTGAGTGTTAGACCCCAGGTGTCGAGGTCTTCCCAATGTTCTTCGGTGAGTGTAATGAGGTCTTGAATGCAGCCACTGATGTTGATGTTTGTGTACAGTGCTGTGACGTCAGCTGTGAAGAATGAGAGACCTGAGAGTTGTTGATGTGACATGTTTTGAAGCTCTTCTAGGTGAGTGTGTATATTGCTCAGGTGAGATGGAACATGATTAAGCAGAGGAGATAGAATAGATTTAACAATCCAAGCAAGCTTCTCAGAAGGGGAATTTATACAAGACACAATTGGACGTATTTTACAATTAGAAATAATATCTACATCTGAAACTAAGACATTACAATCAAATTTATGAGTTTTCTGTATTAAATAAATAGTCGGTAGTTGGGTATTATGTGATTTAAATAAGTCTACTGTTTTGCTGTCATAATTACACATCCTACTTATCTCTGTCCATAACACATTACTCTCAGTCTCTAGTCTCTCAGTAACCCTGTTGATGAGGCGGCTGTAGGAGACTTCTGAGGGGTTTGCTATTGGTTGGATCCGATTTTGTCGCGTGGTGGTAGGTGCAACGTAGGTGTACGCTTCTTGCGAGGTCATGTCTGACAGATGTTTCTGCGTAATCTGCTGTTGTACTCCACTGCTCATTATCACAAACTCACCCCCCTTGTCGCTTCTCGAGAAGTGGAGTTCTTCTTTTCTTGCAATCAAGGATTTGAGTCCCTCCCGTTGTTTTGCTGTTAGGTTAGAGGGTACTTTACTGTGTTCTAATCTGGTGTTAATGATGTAACACAGTTGGCGGAGGTGATGTTCCATGGCGAGGTTGGTGGTGGGTGGAGCACCAGCAAACGGTCGTTGAAATGGCACGTTTTTCGACTTAATAAATGCGAAGCTGGTCGGGCATGTATCATCTGGGATCTCATCTGAAAAACAGGTTTTCCAGCGGAGCCGGTAGGCGGTCTGAGCAAGGCTGATCTGCACATCTTTCTTGAGGCGTTCATCTACTCGGGGTGCTAGGGCGAACTTGGGGCCTAAGCTGAGGACGTTAGTCTCATTCTCGTTGAGGACAACGCCTACCGCAGATACTTTGCTGCTAGGTGGCTCGATGGTAGAGGTGGAGTCGTGTGACACATTAGACTGATAGGTGTGGGTGGGAGTACTGAGAGCATTAAACTTATGAATCAATCTCTGTTTAGATGACTCCTTAACATCGTGGTTGTTATCACTAAACATTTGACATATTTCATAAAACTCTGGTCTCCCAGACAGTCTACATTTTAACAAATAAATGTTTTGTTTACAATTATCGATCTTATAATATAAGTCATCAATGCACTGATTCAGTGAGTGGGTATATAATTTATTTACTTAATAATTTAAAAAGTTAGGTAGTTTCACAGGAAAAAGAATATTAATGTTAAGATGAACTGAGTTCGAGCAGTGGAGTACAACAGCAGATTACGCAGAAACATCTGTCAGACATGACCTCGCAAGAAGCGTACACCTACGTTGCACCTACCACCACGCGACAAAATCGGATCCAACCAATAGCAAACCCCTCAGAAGTCTCCTACAGCCGCCTCATCAACAGGGTTACTGAGAGACTAGAGACTGAGAGTAATGTGTTATGGACAGAGATAAGTAGGATGTGTAATTATGACAGCAAAACAGTAGACTTATTTAAATCACATAATACCCAACTACCGACTATTTATTTAATACAGAAAACTCATAAATTTGATTGTAATGTCTTAGTTTCAGATGTAGATATTATTTCTAATTGTAAAATACGTCCAATTGTGTCTTGTATAAATTCCCCTTCTGAGAAGCTTGCTTGGATTGTTAAATCTATTCTATCTCCTCTGCTTAATCATGTTCCATCTCGCCTGAGCAATATACACACTCACCTAGAAGAGCTTCAAAACATGTCACATCAACAACTCTCAGGTCTCTCATTCTTCACAGCTGACGTCACAGCACTGTACACAAACATCAACATCAGTGGCTGCATTCAAGACCTCATTACACTCACCGAAGAACATTGGGAAGACCTCGACACCTGGGGTCTAACACTCACGCACATCCACAAGATCCTTGAATTCGTCTTCACCAACTCATACTTTACATATCACTCAAGACTCTACCTCCAGAAAATTGGTCTCTTCATGGGGTGCCAACCATCACCAATAGGAGCGATAGTACGAGTATATATGTTCGAGAGAAGATCGATTTACACTGATTTACACGTCTCATTCTACCGGAGATACGTGGATGATGCCGGGAGTCTAGCCAGCTCCAAAGAAGAAGCTCTGAGGATAGTGGAGTCCATCTCAAACGAGGACCCAGACCAGTTGCTCAAATGGGAAATTGACTATCCGGAAAGCCGTCAGGATTTCACCCCATTCCTCGACACCCAGATAAAGATCGACGAACAGGGAACACTACACCACAAATTCTACAGAAAGAAGCAGAAAAAGAATATCACACTGCACGCCAACAGCCACCACAATGAGGGAACTAAAGTAGCAACCATCAAGAACTTCTACAAAACGGCTGCTTTTTGCTCATCAACACCAGAGTATAAAGAAGAGTCCATGAAGATAGTAGACAACTTGTTGGTCAACAACGGTTACCAAGACCCACGACGTATAAACAAAACAGGACGACTTCACCCTCTCTCACCTACAACACGTCATAACCCTTCATCATCAAACATACAAGATACCGACCACGTAACATGCACTCTACCATTCATCAACGAGCCATTTTCCAAAGAAGTCACTCAATTTGCCCTCTCACACAACTTACCGGTCAAATTCATATTCACACCAGGTAAGAAACTCTCAGAGATCTTATGTTCATCACGACCACACGACAAACCACACTGCACCATACCAAACTGTATCATATGTCCACTCATCACAACAAATCACGACTGCAAACCAAAATGTGTCATATACAAAGTTACGTGTAAATTATGTCAAGAGCTATATATAGGGGAAACGAGTAGAACAGCACACGATAGATTTTCAGAGCATCGAAGAGCAGTCAACAGGCCTTTAACCTATCCTGATAATGCGTTGGCTGCTCATTATTCAGAGTTTCACGATAACATAGAACCAGATATTTCCTTCGATATTTTAGAAATTAACTTATATAGCACCATTAAACGTAAAGTGACAGAAGCTTACTACATTAATTTATTTAAACCTAGTATCAATAACAAAGAAGAGTGCGAGAAGCTTAAGGGATTTCTTTTACAACATATTCAAAGACAAATTTAAACAAATAGCACACGACCCTGCTGTTCAGTAGATATTATGTACTTGGACAGAGTGTAAAACGTGTGTACATCACTATTTTCAATGTAATGTACAATACCATTTGATGTAACCTGTATTCAGTGTGTGTAATTTTAATTTAGCATTTTAACTAGTATAGAAGCATTTATTATATACTAACATTTATAACAATTTTAGCCTGAAGATGGCGTTGACGCCGAAAATTTGCCCTTACTCCTAACGTCCTTGTTTCACTTGTCCTTGTCTCTTCCAACCGGATAATATCCAGATATCAGTATTTCAATCATGAGACTAATAAACAGCGAACTACTCCGTTATTTGACATCTCCAACTAACAAAATGTTAACGTCTGATGAGGTACGAATCACATTCCTCCAGTGCCATCCATCTGCTCACAAATAACCAGTAACCACGATGCATTCCTCAGGTTAACGCAGTGAGTGAGACCTCAGTCACACTGATAGAGAAGTTGAGTCTGGTAGAGCTACCCGCCGGTTTGAGGACCACCCAACTTGTTGTCCGGTATGTAGAGGTAGACGAGCTGAACGGCAGTGCTGTAGGAGAAGAGACAATCCAGAACGTCGATCTGAACGTGAGTAAGATGACAATGCGGGCTGGAGCACTAAAAATCATATTACACTCTCCTGTATTATCACTCCTAAATTATGTTTATACAAAGGTTTGGTGTTGCAGGGTGGAAGAGATGACAAGAAGTTTGTGGTAGGAGGATTAGTAGGAGGAAAGAGTTACGCTTTCACAGTTGTCTTGAAGGTCTGTTTTAAAAATACTCTGTTCAAGTCAACAGCTTCGATATTTCTTTGACGTTTTTCATAACTTTGGTTGACATGATAACACCCCTTTTATCAGGCTTCAAACGGAGGTAAGGAGCTGTCCTCCACTCCAACAGCTCGCCTCATAATCACAACTCCATTTGGTGGCACCGAGACAGACAAGGTTAAAGCACAGTTTGACAAGATCAAGCAGAACACTGACTCCAAAATTAGCAGTATCGACTCTTCTCTGGAGGAACAGGAGAACAGAGTTATTAATCTCAGAGGAAAACTGTCCGGTTTCATCACTGAGGCTACCAACAAGATTAACGACCTTGGAGCAGTTGCAGTGGCTAACATCACTTCACAAGAGGGCATCCTATCTAGTGAGTTGAACATTATTAAATATCCTATGTATTTAAGACATAGATGTCATCAAAATTTAATCTTTTAGCAATAGATCAATTCATGATTCAAAATTCACCTACTCAAACAAAAGTCTAACACAAATCATTTTCGATTGTATCTGAAAATTAACCAAGGTTTCATTGACGAGGTATCGCCAAGAGGTCCTGTATAGAGACAGGTATTAACTACTACACAGGAAGAGCTATCGCTTATCCCAAGGCAAACTCCATTTTTCAGTGCCTTGATGAGTGCAGGAAGAATTCAGCATGTCACGGAGCTTCATGGAACACCGGTAAGTTCAGATTTATAATCAAGAATTATATTTCACAGTAGTGCTTCACTATTAGAAGAGTACACCAAGTGGGGAAATTGTTGAAATATTGCTAAACATATAGTGTGTGTAAGGTAGAAGGGTTGTGTAATGTGTATACGAGTAAAAGTGTGAAGTTGACTAGCTGAACTTGGGAAATGTTTAAATGGGAAGCTGATATGTCATAAATTCTTTATTCTTACCAGATACCAAGTACTGCTCACTCAGCACACAGCGCCGTGGAAGTCAACCAAGCATTGACAAGTTTATGGTCAGCATCAACAGGGTCTGTTATGGTAAGGAAACCAATGATTTTTAATATATTAGGCCATTGGTGTTTGAAGTACCGTTTACAATATCCATACGCTGTCATCACACATACTGAAATTTTTCGATTTCATCATTCCGTAAAAAATATTGTAAACAATTTAAATAGTTAGCTTTACCCGGAAATTTCCCCAGACACGCTGACAGGCGATGCTGCAAAATGGAACAGTTGCATAAAGGATAATACAGACTACAATGGTGCTGATATAGCCGGGGCTCAATCCTACGGGTTCGGGACGGAGTGGGACTGCATGGGATGGTGCCTGAACACGGCAAATTGTATGAGTATCACCTACAGACAAAGTGACGGACACTGTTGGCTGAAAAGCAAACCTAAAGGAAATAGTCAGATGCTTACAATGGCCTCACTTCTATCAGCCTCGAGTGCATGAAATCTTAGAAAACAGAGTGAGTTGGTATCTGTTATTATTTTAAGATAGGAATTCAGCACAGTCCTCACTCCTAGAGCTGAGCTGATAGATGACGTTTAGTCTGCAAAACCATTGTACTTTTACATTATCATTTTGTATCTTCCAAAGACTAATTCAATAGCTTATAATTCTACTTTTTTTTCCAGAGACCAGATAACAGAGATAGAACAGTACTAAAAGAAATGAAGAAAACCTTAATTTTTAAAATGAGTTTTCTCAGAGGAAATCATATTTTTGAGCAGTATAACGGAATCTTAATTTTCATACATTTTGTAGTGCCATTTTTTTGGTGTCGATGGCCTCTTCTGGCTTCTGCCGTCTTATCAAAACTCTAATATGAATTTATAGTCCAGAATGTTTGATTTTCTTCAGCAGCACCTCTTTTTATATCCCATGTCGTCACTAAATTGAATGGCCATTATTCTGTTTAAATAAAAGACAATTATAACCAATCACATCACTACGAGTGATCGGATGAATTGCTGCAACTTTGTTCTGTGACACGATAATCGATAAATAAATTTAAGTTTAGCAAAATAGGCACTTGATGTTGTGCTTAAAAACGTCATGACCTATTTTAAAAGTCCAATGAGCGACAAAAATTAAAATGCTCCTCGTCTATCAATGTAAATTATTCTGTATAAGAAACACTTCACATAGGGCCACATACAAATTACGTAAGCCACTAGACGTAGACTCACTGACGTCTAGGAATATTACTAAAGAAAAATAAACAGGAATAATGGACAGACAAAAGAGGTCGATCTCCGAGATTGTCATTGAACTTGCTTACGTCAGGAACATTTGGACACCCTGCTCTTTTCTTCCGGAAATAGCTCCTCCTACTTACGTTACATGTGATCTTAAATCCCTAATTCTGCAGTAGAGTTTGAACTCTGCACAACACGCTAATAAATACTAAGATTTGGTAACTTCTCCGACAATTGAATTGTTGCTTGATTGCTAGTTGAGCTTCTCTAGCAACTTACTTGCTTTTAATCTGTGTACAGAAATTTCCTACCATTGGCTTGATTTAACTACTTAAGGGCGGTATGTCCTAGTAATGGTCATTCTTCATCATAGTCATGTTTTAGTGAGTTCTTCTTGTTTGTTCGGACCGTTCACCAAATTTCTTGTTAAATCTTAAATCTTAGCCTAACTTCAGTTCAGCATAGCGTACGTTCGAGGTCAAACTTAATTTCAAAATTCGATCTTAGATCGAGTTATGTAGGAGTGCAATCTTGATAATAATAGTAATAGCTTTCATGATAATTTTAACTACAAGATTGATCAGGAAGATGCACGAAGACTAAAACTAGAGAACTAGATCCTTACTAAGTTTATAGCTACTTTCTACTTTCTACTTTCTACTTTCTACTTTCTACTTTCTACTTTCTACTTTCTACTTTCTACTTTCTACTTTCTACTTTCTACTTGATCCTATGACCGATCAGACTTTCGTTCTCATTACTTCATAAAATACTGATGATACACACTTTAAGCTATACTTTAAGGTAAGGCTAATTACTGTGGCGACGTCCAAATGCCCCACCCGACCTTCGGTCAATACTACACACTGCAGAAAGCTTTTTCTAACTTCTACTTCAAAGCTGTTTCAATAATACGTATCAAAAGATAGTGAATATATTATGTGGATTCTAGTGGGGAGGTGTTTTGGCACGTGACAGTGACTCTGAGATTTAATTGGTCAATGCTTAAAACCGTCACATGTCAGGAAAAATACGTTTCACCTCCCCACCACTCACCAGTATCCACATCTATAATCCCTTGATAATCAAAATGTGTATTCAATGTTTTCAGTCACCGGCCGATGAAAACCAAATATCGGATCACCACTCGAACCTTTACCAAATGCAATTCACCTGTCCGATCCCACGATCTCACAGATTGGATTAACTCTGTTGTTACGAGGTGGCAACCATCTCATTAATTTGTCACAGTGGGAAAAGAGCTATTTACAGAGATCATAGTTACAGAAGTGATCAAATTGACGTGGCGGTTCCGGTTTACTTCAGTCAACCGACCCAGGGAACCACCGTACGTTTCAGGAGAGTACGTGACAATGTCTGACTAGCTAGATGTCACGCGCTACTTCACTAATCACTCTCTTGGGACAACTCTTCTGGAGCTTATACTTCTGCTGTATTGCAATAATTATCGTGACAATTCCACTTCACTCGATTCGTTTGGACACTTTTTCCCTCTCATTTGTTCACAGCAAATCCAATAAATTGGCGCTTGAAAACCTGAACTGCTCTTATAACCGTATTACAGATCCGTAGTCATTCGAAAAAACTGATGGGAGTGGTAGAAATGCATACAGTAAAGTGGAACCAAGATGGAGCCAATTTATTGTAAAGCCAGGTTAATTACATTTACAGCTACCATAATTTGTTGGGACGATTTTTGATTGCTAAAATGGGGTTGGAGAGCAACAAATTATCATTTACAGTTCAACGATTGTCTAGTAGGGTGCTCAGTAAATTTAGTGGTCATGGTCGGAATTTGCAATATGCAAACTAATAAAATATTATTTTGTTGGCGAGTCAGCCTTAGCAATTGCGTAAATGAGATCCTATAGGCTTATTAATATTATCATTGCTACATTGGACACGCTCTTATTGACAAATATTTTGTGTTTGTGCGACCACCGTTTCAGAGTTATCATTCGGTGAATTCAGTCCACGTTAAAATTTCTAAGCTTCTGTGTCCGTCCTCCTCATTTGTCAACGTAAAAGCAGCTTTGCTTTATCCAACCAAACCTAAAATGCCGCCATGTTATTGACTAATTAATTGATGTTATATGCTAGCAACAACAACAAAGTTCAATTTCCCATATTAGAGACAAAACCTTCGTCGCTTTTATCATTTTGTCGAATGAATAAATGATAAACAAACATTAGCATGTAGATATAATATAACGGAATTAATTAATCTTTATTGAACCATATTGATCTCTGCCGCCTTTATTTTGTAAGATTCAGCCTATTATTTTATTCATTATTTGGTCGAGCTTCTACCGTTTATAGGTTCACTCGATCGTGGAGAATCCGCTCTCAAAAGTGTTTTTTTCTAACCTTTCTACTTAAAAGGTAAACAAGCAAAATGAGTAGAAACTACGAACACGCGGTGCACGGCAAAAGGAGAGTGTCCCTGGTGAATGACTCGAATGCCAATCATCAGCAAGATTCCAGGCTGGCTCTGGAACTCCAGAAGATAGAGAGGGAGAAAGAGAGACTGAGCCGGAGAAGCAGTTTGACTATCCAGAACAAGGTCCATAAACGCCGGACTAGTCTGGCAGAGAGTAGGATGATGAGAACGCTTTCCAAACATGACCTCTACTTACCAATGGAAAAAGGTATGTTAGTGTTCCTTTTAGCAAGCTTTTTGTTATGGTAATCTGCTGAACTGTGAAGGTTTGAATGAAAATGAACATTAAAGTCGAACAAAAGCCGAAACCTAGTCTCCGTTTAGACAAGCACCCGTTGAACTTGAAGGCTGATCAGCTCACAAAATCCCATCTTCAGGTACTGGTAGACGCTCCTCCGTTGATAGCGTATCCACTGACAGCTACAGTAGTCTCGGTTCAGATAACATGAACAGAACTATGCCGTACAGCGAACTGATAGATAAGGATAGGTTTGAGAAGTTTTGTGTTGATACCAAAAAACTGAGCATGTCTGCTGTTGACGTACATAACCTCAAGGAACAGATGAACATAGGCGAGCATGATCTTACAGGTTTGCTTTTACATCGCATTCATTGAATTGTAAATTTATTGTTTTTAAATATCGCATATTTTGTTTGTTAGGTCCGACAAATGTTCGATAACTGATATTGAGTTTATCTATTGGAGCCGTATGCCGACCCTAATAAATATAACATTTTAATTTTCACAGGTTTTATGGGAGACATGAACATTTATCTGAGAAAGAACAACACAATATTGAGGACCAGGGAACAAGCCAAGAAAGAATTTACAGGTTAGAAACTTATATGAACTTAATCATACTAACTTAATTCTTTTAATTTATATTTAAGACATCGTCAATATGGGTTGTTCCTTTATCAAATTTAGATGATACTAGACGAGATAAGTGAGATTACAATATTATTGAATAGGGGACAAAGTTTTAAAAACCCTCACCGTTTTAAAGTTTTTAGGGTTTCGGTAGGTAATTAGAATCTGGCTGGAAATCTCTAGGTTTAGGTTAGGGATTTGGTTAGGGCTCGAGGTACTGTTTCTTCTTTCTTACAGGATAATCAAATAATTCAGGAATGCACATAATATTGGAACAAGGTATTGATAACTGATTTCCGCAGAGCAAGTGGAAGATGTAGAAGAAATAGAAGGAAACATCGAGTGGGACAGCTTCATACATCCCCGAACGCTTGAGCAGATAAAAGCTTGAATACAGCACTATCCACGTACAGTCGAAGGACTCATCAGTTAAAAAGACAGCACGTTCTTGTCTTGATACGAAAATTAAGATTGACAATTTCAATAGCCGGCCAGATTGGTCAATTCCGACCGATTGATAATTATCAGCAACCAGAAAATGATCAGTCGTTGCAGGCCAATGGACATGACATTTTGCAGTCAAATGGCAGCTTGATTTTAGACTTTTATCCAATCATCATTTACAATAATATGAATAATCCATGATTTTATTGTTGATTGAAATACAGATTGAATGTTGATTTAAAGACCTGAAGAGCCTATTTCGGTTAATTTATTGACTTGAATATACATTTCATTTGTTATTTAAGGTTATAATACATTTAAAAAGTGTTCTTATTATAAACTTGTCTGAATGAACGTTTACAAGGGCGCAAAGAAATTTAAGTGAGAGAATTACAAACGAAATAATCCTGTCACGTAACGGTAATAAATCAATTTACATTATCCCGATGTACCCACAATAAAAACTGTTATATTTTACCATGTACATTAATTGGCACGTCCGGTTTGCCGGCATCACGTGATCTCAAACAAGGCTACTGATTGGTCGGTGAGGAGCAGAAAGTCAGTTGATTGGCTGGGGGATGTTTTATCAGAACTACCAGGGATCTGTACACGCGCCTTTACATTGCAGTTATAACATCTGTTATGAAATTATGTTTACCAGTGTTCCACTTCTAAAACAGTGTTCTGTTCCTCCGCAAGACTTTTGAGATTGATGGTAATTAGTTCAGTTGCTTGGCTGTTTCGTGTGTTTGTTTTCAGCTGTATTGGGAACTTGTTAAAATAGTTCCATGAGGTCAACTTAAGAAAAGGCACACTCAAATCTCAATGAGTAGGGGTGTACATTGTATGTACATTCATTTTTAAAAGTACACTTTTCAGCGCTTTTTTTCATGAATCATATTAATTCAACAGTGGTAAAATCATACATACTTCAGCACTTTTGTTCAGCAATCATCACCTGCTTCGTATTTGCCGAAATTGTAATTATTCTAGGCTTCATTCGAGCATACCAACACAGTACGGTATGTGCTGGTGTAGTTATTGACTACAAGAACCAGCTAGATGTAGGTATACCGTGGTAAAGTTAAACTTTCATCTTGTTAACTTTGTAGCCCGTACATTGTACACTTAACAGTGAGATACAGGTATCAGTTTTGTTATCCCGGTTATCGTTTACTAGTCTACTGGTCTGCTACCGGTACACTACTGGCTCTAACTCAGCAATCACCTGATGATAAGTGATATCGCATTCACTGATTATGCAATTACTCATAAATATGTGGTAATGACGCAAGGTGCTGGTGAGTAAAAGTGTCAAATTGCAGGGCTCCCTACACCCGGTATCAAGTTGGGTACGGTACGTTAGTAATGTAACATCTTTACACTTTACAGTTTACCGTGATCTATACACGCAGTTCATCATGACACTTCAGTAGCGGTCCGCGCACTACTCGGCCTGTCCTTTGCTAATGTGTATCCTAATTTATACGGAAGCACTACAAGGGTTAGGAATTAGGAACCCTATCTAGTCTCTATAGCTAACAACACTCTCTCGCTCTCTCCGCTCTCTCTCTCTCTCTCTCTCTCTCCGCCGGGCTCTATCAATGACTGCGTTTACGTGAGTGTGTGTGTAAAACTATCGCAGTGTAACCAGCTATTCTTGATGTGTTAAGAGTTGTCCAGTTCACACACCCTGCTATGTTGGTTGTAAAGTTCTGTAAACGCTCAGCTTCGTAATTTGTCCTTCACCTGTCACTGATAACACGTAAATCTGTTGTAATGCTTCAAATATTTTGAATCTTTTCGATGGGACATTCCTTATAAGTCTCGATTTGTGCGTTTTGTTAGGTGGCACGCTGGCGACCTTTAGTTTGTAATAATTAAGTTGACACTTTGCGTTTTGTATAGTTGCTCTTTGCAGCTATAGGTTTGGATAGAGCTTCGGTGTGCTGTGCAGTTTTCAAACCTATGACCACAGTATATTTCTGTATTTTATGCGGAATTTTATTCAGTTATGTATGTTTTTTGTTATGTATTCGATGGCATGCTGATCAGCTCCACATTAAATGCATAAAAATGTAATAGTATAGTGTACACTGTTTGTGAAGGAAGGAAAGAATGCAATTTACACAAACTCAGTTCAACAAACTGAGGTGTTTGCTAAGATCACCAACTCAGTTCAACAAACTGAAGTGTTTGTTACAATCACCAACTCAGTTCAACAAACTGAGGTGTATGTTACATTCACCAACTCAGTTCAACAAACTGAGGTGTTCGTTACAATCTGAATCACCAACTCAGTTCAACAAACTGAGGTGTTGCTAAGTCCTCACAAACTGAGTGATTGTTACAATCACCAGCTCAGTTCAACAAACTGAGGTGTTTGCTAACCAACTCAGTTCAACAAACTGAGGTGCATGTTACAATCACCAACTCAGTTCAACAAACTGAGGTGTTCGTTACAATCACCAACTCAGTTCAACAAACTGAGGTGTTTGTTACAATCACCAGCTCAGTTCAACAAACTGAGGTGTTTGTTACAATCACCAACTCAGTTCAACAAACTGAGGTGTTTGCTAAGATCACCAACTCAGTTCAACAAACTGAGATATTTGCTACAATCACCAACTCAACTCCAGCGCAGTAACATTCTTACAAAAGCACACTCAATAACACTTAAACTCTTGTTTAATAGAACATCAAGATGGCAGCGGAGATACTTAAAAAGAAGATCCAGGACCTGATGGCAGAGCGTGATGAAGCTCTGGAGAAAGGAGATGGTCTTGAGAACGATCTCAACGAAATGAAGGAGGAACTCCTCAAGGTAAGGAGCAGTTCTAGAAGTAAGGCAGTGGTTACTGTCTACTGATTACACTGCTACTGCTACTACTAGGTCGGAACTAATTGTAATCTACTGATTACACTTAACTGCATGGGTTTTTAAAATGGTCCTTACCGCATACATTTTAAAATGTTCAGTTTGCATATATCTTATTTCGATTGTTTAAAGTTTCTTATAAAGTTTAAAGTTTCCATCACCGAGTTTGCATGTTCAAGAATCATTATTTCCCGCAATCAGACAATGAATGAGTGTTAAAATTCCGATTAAATCCTTAAAACATTTGTAGAATATTTTCTTCGTCATCAGTACGGAGTACGGAGTACCTAATAAAGATATTATGATCTGCATGAATTTATTGCTACTGTCTAAAAATCAAAATAATAGGCTGAATTTGAAAAGAAAGAACTGGAGAGGAGATTTAGATTGACAGAAGATGAGTTAGATAACCAGAGCCAAGTTAGAAACGATCTGAAAAAGAAGAGCATCAATCTCACGGTAAGTGTTGGGTTAGATGAAGATCTGGATTCAACTAGATTGACGCAGACTTTATATTAGTATCAGTTGTTAATTGTTATCCAAAGACCCGACTATTTTGTCTCCCAGGTGGAAGATGAACGTATAAAGGACGATATGAAGAGTCAGGTGCAGTCAATAAACGAGATGGAAGAACTGATCCAACTGATCGACAGAAGGTACGAGGAATTGGAGTTGGACTACAACGAGACGATGGAGGACCTCAACGCTCTGTAGAGAGATAATCTAACATGTTCTGACGATTCCCCGAGTTGTGGCATTTCTATTTCTAACGTTATCTACTTGTCTGACTATTTATTGTGAATCTAGAGAATTTTATTGACACAGAACGCTACTGGATGGATTTCAGGTGATGAAATGAGGGTACTGCCGAATCACTTTTACACTAAAAACTGTGAAAACAATTGAATATGAGATTTTTGACTTGATGAAATTCGTTTTTCTTTAAAATTTAATTTGTAAGGTAATGAATGAAGTCCGAGTAACTTTGATTATGAGATAAGATTTTTTGAACTAACTTTGCTAATTCATTTTGAGCTTTTTGTAAGATTTTTAATTTTCGAACCATATAAACAACTTTTCTCCAATTCTGTACAAGTATAAAATTTCGTTATTATTTACATCAACAATGTACTATTTACAAAACTTTCATAAATTCTTTGTCTTGTTTGCACTCCACTTGAAGGAAATCTGAAGTCAATGCCTGAGTTCATCACGATATGGCTGTCAGCTAATACTTCATACTGGTAATGGTTCAAACTCTAGTGCATCTGAATGAGGGCCGAGAACTGCTTTAGTTTCGAGGAAGGTGGCTAAATGGTCCCTAGGTGGCAGATAGATGGTTCGTTTGGAGTCTGGTCCTTCAATTCCCAGGACGTCTCTGATAGCGCTGCAAATCGTCTGAAAATTTAAACTTTCTTTGTATCCAGGGCTTATTTGAATGCTTTGAATTTGCCACATAAAATGATCAAGGTGCAACTGGCAACAAAGCCTAAAGATTATCGATAGATTGAGTAGCACAGGCAAAGGCAGATAAGTGCCCACAACAAGACAAATGCAGGCATAAACCAGTGGCATGGAGGGATTGCAATATTTGAATATTAGCAGTAATAATCATTACAAATTTCCAAATTTGCACCCTTTACACATAGAAACCACATTGGGTCCATACCTGCGGAAATAAATGCACAATACATGCACATTTCACATTACAGTAAACTATTTGACAAGATTAGATGCCTTAATAATCAAGATTGTTGAAATTATTGATGCACCTCCAATGGATCAAATGTGTCTTCAATCGATCAGCAAGAGATAAATGCTATACAGATACGCAAACAATTCTTGACAGTAAACTCGTCAGACATGCAAAGATTCACAGTTCATACAGACAATCTTACCTTGATATGATCAAAGTCTTGTATTCCAATTCTTGGTAGAGAATTGGCGTCCATGAGAATTAGTTTTCTGCCGTCTACAAAATTCTCAGTGAAACAACCCTGTAATTATTTCACTGATATGAATGAAATACTAGTGAGTGCATTTAGAACATAAATACTCGGACTCAAATGGTAGTATTATTAAGAAACTGTTTACACCATTAAAATATTCAAAACCCCTTAAAGAAATCAAGACATCCTAAAATGGTGATCAGTACAGATCAAGACAGCTAGAGTAAAAATTTGTTTCTCCAAGCAACTCTATCATCGGCTAATATCTTAAGCTTATTAAGATCATTCAAAGAGTTAAATTTTAAACCTCTACGGGTCAAATCATTCACAAATGGTAGTAGATAGTCTATTTCGATGACACAGCTCTAGCATGAATGCCGGAATACTTTATTGATAAATTACTAAATTTCAGGGTTACTAATAATAAAGAACGACATACTAAAAATATTGAGAAGTAAAAATAATAAAAATCCTTTATATTTAATGTAACTCTATTTATAAAAACTCTGAAATAGTTATTGTTTCCTGTTTATTACCTTGTACTGCCAAAAGCCAATATCTTCAACCCAGCTGGACACCTCATCAACGCTCCAATAGAAAGCATCAGGAACACAGGTACCAGAGGCTTTGACGGCTCCTTTCTTCGGTGGTTTGGTGGCTGTGAGTATGCTATCGTCGACTGAAACGGCACTGCCCTCGCCTTCGTTTGCACTAGGAACAAACACGGAGGCGGGCTTTGACTCGGCCTTTACTTCTTCTTCCATCTATTCGAATTGAAATTTGAATGCATTAAAAATTGACTGATACTCAAAACATTAACACCTTAAATACGTCACAACATTCGACTTGGTAATTATACAAAGCAAAAACTGAGTAATCTAACTAATAGTCAATCCAAACTTTGGGGAGGATGGAAACTGAAAATAACAATGATTTACTGTAGAAGACAATATTGTGAGTTGATATCAGCGGCCCTGATTGTTCTAAAACATATTATGAAAAAGCTTTCTGGGCACACAGGTGTAGTTTCATCCACTACATTCAATACCGAATAACATAAATAAGAAATATCAAGAATCGCCTACCATTCAATGCTCGGAAACACACAAAACGACGAATACAGTATACAAAATGTTCACAAATGTTGCAGCGCGCGCGCTCAACAAGTAAAATATTAACTGACAATATACTCTCTACAGAGTAGCACGTTGCCATAGCAACGCGCACAAATAATATGTCTTGCCTTTATTTACTTGCATACGTTTGATCTGTTCGTTACGGTTGACGGTCTGACGTCTACCGTCGCTGTTGTATCGTCGCTCGACCACATGTGACATGAGCACTATTAACATCTTGCTTATGTAATCGATGCTCGAAATTTACAAGGACTGATTAGGTCATGCTTGATTATATTCCATTTCGACCCCATTTACTGTAGAGGGCAGAGGCATAATCTTCAAATGTGTGCTTAGATTAGTGCTGAAAATCTGATCGTCAAAATCTTTCCGTTGATAACACGTTGCTTTGCACTTTTCTGACCAGGCTAAACATGGCTAAAGCTCGCTTTGCTGCAATGTATAAACTCTATAATCGCAATCGTAAGACTGATTCATTTGTACCATAACCAAAGCCCGACCCTTATATAGAATAATCGCTATGATATTACAGCATTGTCAGAATGGATATCAGGTTTGAAGTTTGTTTTCCGTGCCTCCTTAGCTTATGTCTCTGTGTACTTTGTTTATGTGAACAGTGAATGCATTTTCCCCGATATCTTATTAATTTAATAAATAAATGTGATTCAATTTATTGGTCACAAATATAGCAATTATTAATACTTACATTGTCGTATATAAGGATTTAAGTTAAACTTCATTATTTATTTACGCCAAAATTGTGACCCTCCCCCATATATAATAATACATGACGGCTATGCTTCATTATCAGTCCCAAATTGGTTTCCTTAGCAACCCATAACATCCAAACAATATTTGTGCGTCGCATTAGCTGTTCCCGCAGCTGCGTAACATGATATGATAATCACTAGAGTAAGTCTCAAAAGGGTCCAAGTCCCTGCTTTCGTTCATAGTTACCTTTTGTTTAGTTGCTTGACAGCAAAACAGAAAATCATTGCCAGCCTACATCGGAATTCCAAAGAACTGGTAAGTGAATAGGTTATGTAATACAATACAATGCAATGATGATACATTTTATGTACTGTTTAAATTGTACACCCTGCAATTTAACTTGTAGGTAATTGAGTAATGACTTCCAGTTTCTATACAAATGATTGCCATAGCTGTTATCTATAATTGTTTTGTGGTATTTGACCGAGCTGTTTTGATTGCTCAACTGCTAGATTTTAATGCAATTGTTAGCCTATTTCATGTGTGTTAAATGATTAAATGTTCGTGATTTTCTGAAAAGATACAGGTATGAGGTATCGTAGTCAGTCCAGTCGAGATTAGATGTTTGCCGTCACATCGGCAAACAACGAGTTTAGTATATTTCTGCAAGGGGAAATTGTTGACCATAATAACAACACTATCCTTAAACGTATCTGTTTTACTGACAGGGCTAAGTAAGCGCTCATACTGAAGTTGTGCCCAGATAATGCGATATATTACAAGTTTCAAACTGTACAAGCTAAATTTTCGCTTATTTTGGGTTGTGCCGACCTTGTATTTTTCCCAGTACAGAGATAACTGCATGTATTATGGTACCTCCACAAATTTATGTTTTAATCTTCTTCAATCTATATTCTATTAACATGCATTATAATATCATTAACATCATGCATGACTCTTCAAAAGCAAATCTCACCGCTTAATCAAAGATGTCATTGAATTCTTCATTGAAATATTGATTAAAAGTTAATACTTTTTAAGAAATTCATAGGCATCCGATGGAAACTCATATAATAATCACGTTGCGGTCATCATTTTCACAATTTCATTACTCCACTCAGAACCACAAAGCATGACATGAGCAATGATAATAATGACAATGAAAAGTGAGAATAATAAAAGACTCTGACATGAGTCTTATCAGTCTGCCTCTCCTGTTAAGCTCGCAAAGATCACACAGACCACAGTCGCACAGACCTCACTCTCACAGATCACACTCGCACAGTTCACGTCACTCACTCTACCTCACTGCTACACACTCTTCTCTTTACGGTAAGACAATGTTACATTTATAACCTGCAATCGGAAAAATATATTGGTATATAATGAGTTTTTACCAGCAACTTGTCACAAAGATTACTTTTCATTTCGCTGGGTAGATTTATCCTTCTCGTCTACAAGGTGTTCATGAGTTTCCTACGAAATGCCGATCAATGTAGCCACTTTTTTCAAATGTTTGCCCTGTTTGCAGACCACCTCACTTAGATACAGTGTAGCAACATTGACTACAACACCTTGGGCCCAAAATGTTTTGCCTTCAATACCTCTAGAGTCATTTGAGCTCTCGAGTTCGTGCTAGTTTTAAAGGCCTATGATTAGGATAAGTGTCCAATTTTCCTTTTTTTAAAGTATAAAAATGAATTCTATTAATAATGGCATTTTATTCCTTGACAAACCATTAGCCTTGTCAGGCCTTCATCGCATTGCGTGTCACCATGACTATGGCAGTGTTCCATCCCAATATTGTCTTTGATTTGCCGGCACATTCTCAGACTATTTCACTGAAGTATTATGATAAGCACTCTGACCCCCTCTACTCTAGAAATACCTAGAGAAAAGATAGGGACACGTCAGTACAAACTTCATCTTGTAATGACAGTAGCCCTCAAATGTGGCATTACGGCAATCAAACTATCACTATTCGAGCATTTTGACAACGTTTGCACACTGAAAGATTAGAACAGTGTTATAGATTGTGTTGAAGCGATATTGAATACATGACAAGAATGTTCGGGATTTAGATTAGGTGGCATCTTGGCAATTATTCACAGCACAATCTAGATTAAATTTGTGTGCACGGAGTATTGAGACCGGAGTGCATGTTTTACTTTTATTGAGTTCTGTGATCTTTCCATTCGTTCTTCTGCCAGATGGGAAACTCCTCCCACGATGTTTTGAAGTTTATTTGTAAGTTTCATGAGACATATCCTGAATTTTTGCCAGAGGTTGTTTAGGAGCATGCTTTCTAATTAAGTGTGACCGTATTTTTATAGTCTTTTTCAGTAAAATCTCACAAGATCGTCTTTTGAATGTATCTCAACTACATTTTCTTTCCTTAAATCCATCCCTTGATTATCTTCAAAACACAATTTGATCATAGAAATATGAAGTATGTACTATGTACCTCTAAACTAGTAACTGGTATGATCTTTTGCATGCCTGTGTCCTTAAACCCTGCCCATCGCTAGATAGTATGGGGCAGAGGGAACACTCAAGATGACAGATTTACAAGACGATTATGACGACGATTTTTACGAAGACGATTTCACAGATGACGACGAGGACGGAAGGGGGAGCAGCAAGTTGCTAGAGACCTCAAAATCGATCGTCGTTCCAAAACTACCGCCAAAACGAACTAAAGCTTTTACAAACCAGACCAGTGTCAACACCCACAGATCAGGTGAGATTTTAAAAAATAAATCTTTATATTTAATATTGTGTACGATTGTTTTTTCACATCCCTGGTTACGTGAATGATAAATGTTTTTCTCACAATATCTTATAGTTATGAAAAGGTTGATCGTGATTAAAGTAGACAGACCTCGATCTAAACAATGTTTTTTTTAAGAATAAAAGTGGATTATGAAAGTAAAAAATCGACTAAAATCTACAATCTACATATTTATATATCGGTGCACCGTACTCTTTTAAGAGTGTGGGTCTTTACTAGTTTACTAATTATGCTTAGCAAAGGATGCCGATACATAGAGTTTTAACAGAATTCAATCAAACTCCGCACAAATTTGATAGTGAATCATTGCGTCTGGCGTCATGATTCATGGATTGCAAGGAATGCATGATATGTGTGTATCTCGTCATAACAGTTAGCTACCGTTTTGTGTAGTTTTGTGACTTATTTATGAATAGGTTTTAATCCTTATAATCAAATAAAATCCTAAATTGATGACTTAAATTTCGTGAGCCACACCATTTAAATTATATCATGACGATTGCGACGAAATTCGACCTTATAATCTTAGATAATTCGACATAAGAAAATCGCTCTAACATGAAACATGATAAACCTTGTTGCGGTGGTAGAGTCGTTAAAGGTGTATGAAAAGAAACTTAGCTGCGAAAAATGTCTATGTACTTTATACATTGTACGAGAACGACTTACGACACACAGCATAAGCCAATAAAGGTTACAGGTAACCTTATATTACCCCAAAGTCGAGCTATTAATCCTAATAACACCTTCGCGTGTTAAAGTGAGTTATGTGATCGTTTCCACTCTTTTAGGAAACTTCCGCCCTTGTGTCATCCGCCCTCGTGTCTCACATATCACACATAATTGATGTGACATGTGACATCATTATATCAAGCAGCTAACTTTACTCGACTAACTACCTGATCTTGAGGTGACGTACAATACATATTTTTTCGTAGGATAATTAATCAAATTTATTGAATACTGAATACATAACTAATAGTTTACCTTACTCGGGATTATTACGACGGGTTTATTAACGACCGGTTAAAATATGGTTCGGGAAAAATATGGCGAAATTGCTCAAAACCCACCACATTTTCCCGGTCGCCATTTTACCGGTGTCCAACCTTTCAATTTTAGATTCAAAAATTTTGTCTCAGATGTAAATTTCCTTATTAGAGATAAGCAAGTTTAGAAATTTTCGCTTTGCTAAAACTTGTGAAACAAGTCGAATTATCAATAATTGTTGAAAGTAGACAGAAATAATGACTCGTGGTTAATCAAACTAGATGGAAAATAATTTTTAACATTTGAAGCGTAGCCGTAACAACCAGATCGATATTAAGATAAAGGGAGAGCTGTTTAGTCTTCCAATAAGTTGTAATCATCTTCGTTATCTTCATCTGGATCATCTTGATACATGTTTCGTATCCCAATATCAGAGATAATATTTTTCCGCCTTCGCGCGCGAAAAGTGGCATGCAACGTATGTCAAGGATCATCCATTTCATCAGTTTTAATTAATTCAAGTTTTA